GGGGGGGGGTTGAGTTGCATTGTATTCGTTTATAAATCTGTGATGCAGAATTTGGTGTCTTAGAAACTCACTGATTTGTGTATGTTTCCTTTTTGTACAGTAATCTTATTTCGGTTTTGTTTGTATAGTCAAGAATGTCTTTATATATTATGATTTCAATCAATTGATTATTGTATTTTGTAAATGCTTTTTCTTTAATAAATTGTTCCCGAAAGAATATTCGTGTTCACTAATGTTTTGTAATGGCATTCAACAATTTAAAATCATGCATACAAACTTATTGCATTCATGAACAATATTTATCTTCAATGATTATTTATCTTATTTATTTATTTTTCGAATTTATTACTTTCAGATCAACAAGAGAGGTTATCTCCCTTGATGCACAGGCCTGCCATAGATTACACAGAAATATATTACTTATCATAAAAATCATAATTTATTTCTCAAAATAACTATCATGATACATTCATAATTTGTTCAAAATTAACATTTACAAACAAGATTGTCGATAGGCGTTGGCCGTATTTCTAGTGTTCACGGGATGACTCCTGTTCGTAGCCTTATAGTCGGCTCACATGAAACTCCAGTTAAACTATAAATGAACATTTCTAACATGCACTTGTGAATTCGTAACGTCTTAATGTCAGTAATATGTTTTCGAACACACGTAAATCAAATCACAGTGTTTACACCATATTTAAGTTAAAGATTAAGCACTCAGACTGAACAGGGGTGTTACCCTAGTAACCCTGCAACACCCTTTTCTCTGTGTCCAAAAATAATCTGGACCAAGGTTGTTGAAATTTTCCTCTATTTCATATGGGATTTCCTTCTAATATCAACTATCCCTTGAACTATGGCTTCCCCTTGGCAGTAGTTTGAATATCTATACATGCCTAATTTTATTAAGACTATTCTCAATAATACTGGTATTAACAATATATGGACTAACCAAAAAAAGTGTAGTCAATAGAGATACCTTGAAATGTATTATCAAGAAGAGATTAATCGATCAATTTATCCAGAAATGGTATCATGACATAGATAGTTCTTATCATGGTAAAACCTTTTCAATTTTCAAAAACGAATGGAAATTTGAACCTTATTTGCTGAAGCTCTTCCCAGAAGAACGAAAAAAATAATGTAAATTTAGAATGTCCTTTTTAAGTCTGCCAATAGAAATAGGTCGATAGACAGGCGTCCCAAGACAGGAGCGAATGTGTCCCTTTTGTACAACAGATGAAGGTGACGAATTTGAAATACGACATAAATGCATTGCCAATTATTATCATATCAATCCAACTATTTTAAAAATGAAAATTAGGGTTTCTATTTGTAATTCTTCCTTGCTCAGCAAAATAAGCAAATTCTTATCTAAACTAGAAAAAATGTTAAATATATTATAATCATTTATCATGTATGCCATGTATGTTTTGCTATTCTATTCTATAATATTTACATTTGCATGGCATTGTCACCATATAGCCTGTCGTTGATGGGACTTTGATTACCATGCAGCACGAGACATAATTCTTAGCGTATTAATACAACACTGACCGGAACTACAATATCCAATGTAAATAAACATGACGGCTGCTGAAATATCGCTAGGCATTGTGAGATTTGACATTGTCATTGTAAATTTATGTGTAAAATAAAAAACACTTTTATTACAACGAAAACAAGACCAAGGTCTGCAATATCGTACAAAATGCACATCGGTTGAAATCACCAATGCCGGCAATGGAAACAATTTTAACGCTCATGCAATTTATCAAAAATATCGTCTGTTACACTGCACTGATCAACAGGGGTTCCTGAAATACACATATTTTATAGACCTACTGATATGAGTCAAAGCACACATAACGTTTCAAACATTTGTAATGAACCCCTGTGCTCCGTCGCAAGATCACTCACTTCAAACGCTATCAGTTTCACGCGTCTCGCAGCCACTGTTTCCTCAGTTTCTGACGACATGTCAAATAACGAGGCTGTTATAGAATCTACCGACTGTAGTCAGATTCCCATACAATCAACATATAAATTCACGTCTGGATTCTTCATAAAATGAGCAAAGCGAAAAGTTCGAATTAACTTCCTAAAATAACTCCCTCGTGGAGGGCAAGGTCGGATTTACGGTGTATGTATGCTAATATATGTATGTAGGTATGTGTGCTATTATATGTATGTATATATGCTATTATATGTGTGCTATTATATGTATGATATCATATATATGTATGCTATTATATGTATGCATGTATGCTGTTATATGTATGCATTTTTACTGTTATACGTATGCATGCATGCTGTTACATGNGAAAAAATGTTAAATATATTATAATCATTTATCATGTATGCCATGTATGTTTTGCTATTCTATTCTATAATATTTACATTTGCATGGCATTGTCACCATATAGCCTGTCGTTGATGGGACTTTGATTACCATGCAGCACGAGACATAATTCTTAGCGTATTAATACAACACTGACCGGAACTACAATATCCAATGTAAATAAACATGACGGCTGCTGAAATATCGCTAGGCATTGTGAGATTTGACATTGTCATTGTAAATTTATGTGTAAAATAAAAAACACTTTTATTACAACGAAAACAAGACCAAGGTCTGCAATATCGTACAAAATGCACATCGGTTGAAATCACCAATGCCGGCAATGGAAACAATTTTAACGCTCATGCAATTTATCAAAAATATCGTCTGTTACACTGCACTGATCAACAGGGGTTCCTGAAATACACATATTTTATAGACCTACTGATATGAGTCAAAGCACACATAACGTTTCAAACATTTGTAATGAACCCCTGTGCTCCGTCGCAAGATCACTCACTTCAAACGCTATCAGTTTCACGCGTCTCGCAGCCACTGTTTCCTCAGTTTCTGACGACATGTCAAATAACGAGGCTGTTATAGAATCTACCGACTGTAGTCAGATTCCCATACAATCAACATATAAATTCACGTCTGGATTCTTCATAAAATGAGCAAAGCGAAAAGTTCGAATTAACTTCCTAAAATAACTCCCTCGTGGAGGGCAAGGTCGGATTTACGGTGTATGTATGCTAATATATGTATGTAGGTATGTGTGCTATTATATGTATGTATATATGCTATTATATGTGTGCTATTATATGTATGATATCATATATATGTATGCTATTATATGTATGCATGTATGCTGTTATATGTATGCATTTTTACTGTTATACGTATGCATGCATGCTGTTACATGTATGTATGTATGCTATCATATGTATGTTTGTATGCTATTATATGTATCTATGATGTTATATGTATGTATGATATTATATGTATGTATGATACTATATGTATGCATGCTATGATTTGCTATGCTATGCCTAGTATGTATGCTTTGTATGTATGCATTTGCTTTAAAATGCACCAGTCTATCCAGTTGGTCTGCCATTATAAAATGTATCCGAAGTTGACCTCCTGTTACACACGTTTCAGGCAGTAACAATTTCTGCTCAAATTTAATTTATGGACCACAATAAAAGTTGTTTAATTGAATATTTTAATCGTGTTCTTGAAGATGGGGAAAAAGGCCGACATCTTCCGCAAAATGGCTGCTGCAGACTGGCTTCTGATAAGTCGAAATGTATGCATTGTCCAATATCCCTATGTAGAAGTGTGCAGTGTCACTACGAACACTACTGCGATCTGCGTTGATTTTTGTATTTGACAAAATGTCCTTGTTTGGTCGGGTCCTGATTGGTCGACATTTAGATATTGACCGATTTGGTATATAGATGTATTATGAAGGGTTGTCAACGGTTAGCCGGTTATCCGGCTACTCGGGCGAAAGACCACGAACCGGTTACCAAAATCCTTAACCGAAAAGTCGGACATTTACTTACCACCTTTGGGAGCCCCATGTTTCCCTGGCTTAGACCTACAAACAATCTGCATTTGTATAGCAGCGACCGAAATTGCATAGTTTTGTAATAAAAACAGTGTACAGGGATTACATGTTAGTGTTAATTTTGTACTCTAATCGCCAACACCATTAAAAATCTGAATTTTAAAAGGAAGCCAGAACACAAAGCTGTGATGTATCAACTCTCTGAGGTAGAACGCTCCATTACATGCGAAATGTAAAGATAATCTGACGAGTACACACTTCAATGAGCAAGCATGTCTTTAAATGTTTATCAAGCAAATTTTGTTCTATAGAATATTATTTCCCATATGATTTAGAGTACAGATAACTGTAATTGAATCCGTCTTACTGCATTCCGACATTCGTTGTCCATGAAAAATACTTTTCCTTTGATAACCTTGAAATACACGAGTAAACGATCATGCTATTTAACATATACATGTATGTTTGTGGTGTAAATGCGTTTTAGATAGAACATTTTTTATGTTTATTATTTGACTGCCAAATTGTTCGTTACAAAAGTAAGACCGGTTTGACAACCCTAGTATTATGGCATTGCGATCATGTTCTGATGCATCACTTGCGACTACTGTGGCTGTTTCGGCACCTTATAGTGTAATGGTTCCTGTTACGAGTATATATTGTTATACTTTAAAATAAAAAAAGGAAATGTATGTACCCTTCCAGAGCAATGATTTCACATCTGCTTTAGTACGTTCATGTTGTGTACAAATTTGTGTTCTTTGTTCTTTTCGCCAAAGAAAGGTGTCCTTTGTTAGATATGACTTGCATATTATTTCAT